GGTGATGCTCGCACTCAAGCATGTGGCTCGCTTGTCGAGCTGAAGCATTAGCGGTTTGATTGTACAAGGCCTTCCAGAGAGGAACGGCAGGATTCAGTTGATTTAGTGATTTCTCACGCCTGCCTTCTCGAACGCCCCCCTCACCGCATCTTCGAGTTTAAAAATAGCAGCATGTGCCGCACGTATCAAACGATCGTCATCGTACTTCCATGCCGTCATCCCCTCAACACATTGCCAATGCAGTGACTGCCGAATCTGTGGGGGACGTTCCACAAGCTCTCGTGCATTATGCGCAAGCGATCGCCGCCATAGACGCCGACGTGGCGACGTGTAGGTCTTCGGTGGTGTGCATTGGTTCGAATCCTGAGCATTGCCGCCTCGTAGGCAAAGACCCAGTTCAACGACGCCAACTACAAGAGGCTGCGACCATGTGTCAGGACCACCTCCATGCTTTGACGTATCCGCAGCTGAAGGCTTCCCACGGAGACATGGCGCGATCGCCAAGCAGTAATGGCTGCGCAGCTGAAGACGTACTTCCCATTGCCCTGGATGTGTCGACGTCTGCAAAGCGTGCGCGCCATTTCAATCACGACGACGACTGACATTTGGCTCTTGTGTCAATTTAGATGGCATCACGCACGAAGCAGGAGGCGAAAAGGTCATGATGGGCAGCGCGGCCGCAGCTGCTGGCGTTGGTCTCCTTGTTGCCGGCCCCGTGGGTTGTATTCTTGGTGCAGCAGGGGGCGCGGTCCTGGCGACTCAGGGCGGCACGTCCGGTGCGCAAGAATAATTCGCTGTCATTGCGTCTTCATTCATCACGGCGCAGGGGACCTGGCGCGGGCGACGGGCCAGTTGATCGCAATTTCCTACGACAAGGCCAAAGTCGCCAACAAAAAGTACCATGTGACGGACAATGTCAAGGCAGGCGTCATGACAGCGACTGCGACGGCAAAAACGCTCGATGACATGTATCACATCCAAGCGAAAGCGACGACGTTGGCCCGCGCTGGGATGACCAAACTCACTTCATTCAACCACAAGCACCACGTGACAGAGCGAGTGGCAATGGCAGCTGTGAGTGGCATACACGGACTGACGAAGGCGCTGGGGTCACCATCAAAGCAGCCGTAGAAATGGCCACAGACGCTACGACAAGTAACCCGTGAACATCCCTTGGATCGACACAGGGGAAGCCGAAAGATTGTGCGACGATGGTCCTAAAGCAGCGTTTACCGTTGTACGACCCGCCGTACTGACAGGGCATGCGCATGACGAATGTTGGATTCCTTTGGACGACTTGGAGGGGCCGCGTGGTTCCGATAGGGGACTCGTAACCACTCATTGCCGCGACGATGGAGCGTTTGCCAATACTGTCCCGGTCCATTCATGGAGCGTCTGCAGCCCCTGACGGCTTGAAATATCATCGTGTCCGTGGATGTTGGAGGTCCCCCTCGAATTGTCCCACGTGAACGTTCAACACGCGGCGTGCATCGACCACTCGGACAACCTGCCGGACGCATGCGCCATTTTGCGACAGGGTACCAGGGATTTCCGCACGCAGAGAAGGATTTTCTTCGAGGTTGTGCATGTGGAGGTAGAGCGCGACGGCAGCACCGGGGTTACGCGCATTTGGCACGCACTCATACACCACCAGATTGTGCAAGTTGTTGCCACGTGGGAGAGCCTCGTCGGTGGCATGGGTGACGAAGGCGATTTACTGCCGCTGTGGACGACATGCAGCGTTCGTTGGAACAAGGCGGGACATGTAGGCAAGCTCTGACAGATTTGGGAGCACAGCCACGTGTTTGTCCTGGATATTTTCGCAAGTAAGGCGCACCAGCGCCTCGTTTCATAAGGTTCATTTGTTCACACAACTCTTGTCAAGTCCCTTCGTATACCAGTCATTCAACCTATGGCACTGACTGCGATGGCTCGTGCTAATGGTGCGCCAACAGCACACTCTTGAGTACTTGGACGGACTGGACGATCTCGTGGTACAAGCTCATGTTTGCTTGGGCACGTGGCTTGAGCAGTTCGAGGTTCCGGTCCAGCAACTTGTGTACGACCATCGCCGACAACGGCATTTGGTCGCCGGTTGTCATCTACCCATCCAACTCCACCTTTCAAACCGTCTCATGGCACAACCCGCCGTACCTTGACCACGGCGCACTGTAACGTTAAGACGAGGTCCATGCAGCTCATGATGAGCTCGGACGTGGTGAGTTGCGGCACTTGAATCGAGTCGTTGCATCGTTCGTCGACTGTGAGCCGACGAATCGTGCTTGCCACGAGGTCACGGGACCGTTCGTGCGCAGCATGTATGTACTGGTGTGCCCACTCGAGTTGCTGGATGTTGAGCGCGGCGTCGGCACCGTCTGTGCCTTGGAAAAGCGGGTACGGCGTAGGGTCGGCCGACAGATCCTGCGTGTAGTTGAGTTAGCAGAGCGGCGCAAACAGTCGATAGAAAATGACCTCGTGATGGTCACTCAGCTGCATCCGATACAGCGCCGTCGTCAGCATGTGGTTCGTCATGTCCAAGTTGACAAGCACCCATGCGTACTGAGATTGAAATTGCACAATGTCGTTACCAGACACGAGGGTCACGGGTGCGAGCGCAGACTACGGGAACGATGGGTGCATATGGATTCGATCGTTCGAAACATTCATGCGAATGACGGGGCGAAGAAGAGGGCAATCCACGACGTGGACAATCGCCCCATCCATGCCTGCAATCCATTCAGAAGTACGTACTGACATGCTAGCCGCCTTGTCGTTCATGCGACTGAGATGCATCAGAAGCTGTTCCTTTCGATGTAGGAGCGCTGTGACCGCACACATGGCGAGGCACGCATCAGACTCGGCTGGAGCAGGTTCACGTTGGGATCCCGAAGGAAGCGGCGACACCTCGTTTGGCACTGGTGGAGGGGCTTGTTGCCAGTATAAAAGGGAAGGCCGATGGTACGTTGCCATCGTGGCGTTGTTCGCGTCGTTGCTGACGTGTTGGCGCAGCTAGTGTGCATAGAGAGAACAGATGAGGGAGGAAATCTCGTTTATGCAGGCGGTGTACCATGACAGACGTGTCTGGGCACCGAAGTATTTCCTTGTGGTCGGTATACGTCACCATGACCTCGTACGCGTTGTCGAGAATGTGCACAGCACACACCACGCCGACGCAGGTTTGATGGGTCTTCGGGTGGAGCACTGCAAATAAAACTTACGACAACAGGTCGAAGATGCAACTGCATACCTCGCACCGGTGCGCCGACGCTCAGGGGACTATAAATCTTGTATGGAAATCGAATATCCACGGGAAATTCCTGACGACTAACTGTGAATGGACGAGGCGGTAGGGTGGGGCGACGTACGTTCATGCGCTGGGCGTATCTCACGACGTTGCGGTACCGGAGCAGCTTCTGCCGTTCCTCGTTGAGAAATGTAGCGCTGAAGCGGCGCGGGTGACCCATGGACCCGCGAATCGCTGACCATTCTGTCCGCTTGGCGTGCTGGAAATGACCCATGTTCATCTGCACCAAACAGTCGTGGAACTCGCTGTGGGCAAAGAATTCGTTGTCGATAGTAGCGGAGAATGACCGCAGTTCCCGTGAGAGGGCAGCGTTGTGCCGACGTGACACCTTTCGGCGGGACGGCGATGCTACCATAGCTTTCTGTTGCTCTGCTGCCTCGGATTCCCACGCCGCTTGCGCTTCGTAGTGATCTGTGAGAATGGCAAACAATCCTTCGTCGGTGGCCATGGGCAAAGACAAGAACCTACATCAGCCGCGTACATCGTATGTTAGAGAGCATACCATAGAGAAGAGTCACATGCCGCACCCTTTGTGCATTTGAATCAGCGCGCGCACCATGTCTGGCGTCCGTTGCGGTAGCTCTGTCGACACTGCCGCAACAACGCGATCAAGGGAAACGGATTTAGTGTAGTGTTGCCGCCACAGCGCAAAGAAGTCCTTCACTTCCGACTCTGTCCATCGCGGTCCAAGGCGCTCGCTCCACCCCATGGTGTATCGATGTCTTGACGGCGCAAGTTCACCGGTCTCTACGCGCGCAACTTGCACGCCGCTCTGGGTTTGAAATTGAATCGGACCTTTCACAGTCGATCAGGATAATATTAAATGATGCAGATCTTTGTCATTTATAGGCTATTATGGAAATCTCGGCCGGTACAGCACTGCGACGGTCGCGGCGTTGCCGCTCGAACGCCCGCATGCTACGTCGTCGTAGGGCCATGTGCACACTGAACGGGGCTAAAACCACTAGGTGTGCGCCCTTGGAGCTTGATGCCTACCATCGGTGAGCCAGCCTCTACTGGGACCTAAACTGTAGATCACCCGTCCTTGCCAGGATAATTTCGTGGCGTGTCCGATATTGCCAGAGCGTGAGTACACGGTACATCCACACCATCATGAATGACATCGTAAGGACAATCGCCATGGTGGGCCAAAAAGCTCTTTTACCACAGTGCTGTTATGCGGTAGACCCGGTTCTGTCGAGAACATCCCCACTGCCCTGTCCATCAGGTCGCAGGATGGTTCTCCAACGGAAGGAGGTCTTTTGTGCCTTCTAGAGGCTTATTCCTCATGTGAAGTAGTCAGCTGCAGCGAAATCCACGTCAGATCGTTAGGATGTTTTGACCTCATTGGCCAGATGGCCTACACTGGCGGATGGGCTTCGCCCACCGTTCACTTCTTCTCTCCTCCTTATACTCAAAACCCCGATCTCCTAGCATCCGTGTTTCTCCTCGCTACCTGCCCCTCCAACTGGTTATGAGCACTACAACGACGATCTCTGTTGCTTCCCGCCTGATTCTGTCTGTCACGAACCACTTTCGTGGCATCGACAACTTTGACGAGTGGCACTTCGCGTTGACCACAGTCGTCCTCCGAGGAGAGGGACGTACCGCCCAGTAGGGTTCGACCACCCTCCAGCATTTTGAAACTGTGTCGAAGCTTGTCATGCCAAGGTTCACCGTAAGTGAGACGTACCTCTCGAGCTTGAAGGTGTAGAAGTTGGTGTAGGCAGTCACCGCCGACACATGCATTTGCTCATCGCTACAGAACATGCTGCGAAACCATGAGATAACGCAATGCGCACACTTGTTCGGGTTCGCCGCAGCCGCATCTCGACGAACAGAGTCGGAGAGCGAGGAGTAAACCAAAGCACACGAGCGCTCGACATCGGCGAGCTCGGTGTGGACCATCTGGTCCATCTGTCCCTTTGCTGCTCGAGCAGCGGCGAGTACAGTAGAGCGATGCTCCACCAGATACTGCGCCACAGGCGAGGACAAAGCAATAGGGAGTGCATCGAGTGTCGGAGGAGGTAAACGAGACGTGTTAGAAGGGCTAGACGCAATCTCCTGCTGGTGCGCGCGAGGATACTTGACGTTACTGTCAAGGACTGGAAGGGCCCGATGGAGTCCTTACATGGACCACAAGGGTTTTGACGTCGGCGCACTTCGTCGCTGGGCGGTACGTCCCTCTCCTTGGAGGACGACTGTGGTCAACGCGAAGTGCCACTCGACAAAGTTGTCGATGCCACGAAAGTGGTTCGTGACAGACAGAATCAGGCGGGAAGCAACAGAGTTCGTCGTTGTAGTGCTCATAAACAGTTGGAGGGGCAGGTAGCGAGGAGAAGCACGGATGCTAGGAGATCGGGGTTTTGAGTATAAGGAGAAGAGAAGAAGTGAACGGTGGGCGAAGCCCATCCGCCAGTGTAGGCCACCTGGCCAATGAGGTCACGACATCCTAACGATCTGACGTGGCCTTCGCTGCAGCTGACTACTTCACATGAGGAATAAGCCTCTAGAAGGCACAAAAGAACTCCTTCCGTTGCAGAACCATCCTGCGATCTGATGGACAGGGCAGTGGGGATGTTCTCGACAGAATTGGGTGTTCTGACTACCTGGAGTATGAACTGTTGCCTAACTCCGCCGTTGTCAGGAACCTACGCCAAGCTTTGAGCAGCGCGTGTCGAACTCATCCGATGCCAGAGAAGTCCTGCATTGAACAAATCTTATTCATTGCGATCCATTGATCTTGAGTCTAGTTGACGCAACCACGTTCCAGCCACATGGAGATTGCTTGAATCGGTTGACGACAACCTGAATGTTTGGAAAATTTTCGCCATTTTTCACTTTTTTCTCACAGCCGAGCACGAACACGATCCAATGTATTTTTGGCACACCAATTTGGCGGCGGCAACAGATAAGACGGAGGAAAGATACGTCCGCGCCGCCATTGTGCCTGGTAACGGGAGCAGCAGTGGAAAGCAAGATGCAGCGGCTGTCGCCACCTCGACACCACGCGCGCAATCAATCGACGTCGTTCCACATGACAGGCGGCGGCTCTTACAGCCCGCCTCGCGGAAGCGTCGTGGAGTCACCAGTCGTGTTATTGTCGGCGTCCCGAGCAACATCAATAAAATCGTGGACCTCTCAAGCCCTCAAACGTTTCCACGGCTCGACGGCGGCGGTACTTCAGCACCGACCAAAGTCCCATGCGTCTATCAACGTTCCTGCGCCATCCATCTCGCACAAACCAGACCGATGCTCTGCGCTTGGCGTGTGCGATCCTCGTTATGTTGTCGACCACATGCACTTACAAGGTGGCGCTCACCACACACAGCTCGTGTTTGCGGTGTTCAACGGGCGTCCTCTGAGCCACTGCTGCTACGACATGGTGTTCACGTGGTTTCGCGCCGGCCCGGGCGAAGAATTCGTTGTCATTCCTGGAGCAACTCTGGACTGGTACCAACCAACTGCCGAGGACATTGGGGCGTCACTGCTGCTCCAAGTTGAGATTGGCGATTCCGTGTTGGGCTGCGTCGAACATCCGCCACTCGTTGCAGGTATCCAGTCACGTTGTCATCTCGTGCACTCCTCACGCCCACGGCCATTAGATTCGACTGTCCGCTCCCGCGTCGAGAACCTCCTGGCGGCGCAAACTGCTTTCTTCACGGTTCGTCATGCCATCGCGACCTTTGTTCATGAACGTGTGGCAACGGCAGAATGGCGAATGGTCCCGCCCATCTCGTCGACCAACAACAATGCTTCCGACGTCACCGGCGTACGTGCAAAATCTCACTCCACAGAGCACTAAACCTCTCACGCAAACAACCGAACGGCCAGAATGAAACGTGGTCGCTGCTCTTGGACGACAAGCGAATTCGGTTGGCGTGCGAGTCGGCGCTGATTCCGCCGCTCGAGGCCCTATATGCTCCGTCCGTTCAGGTTTATCGTTCCCGACAAAACAGACGCCCCATTTGGTCGTTGCCGTAGATGTCCCTTGACCTCGATCGTCCCACCGCATTCTTCATAACGTTTGGCACTGCGTCGACGAACGACGACGATGACAGCGACAGACACGTCGCGCATCTTCACGTTGATCTGCACGATTGCCGTGACGTGATCTTGCTCGTCTTCCAAGCGTTTTCCGCACGTGCGATGCGGTCAACAGCTCTGGCGGACGCAATTTCCACCGGACAGTCGTGCATGTTGGCGTGCAGAACGCTGCCGTCGACATCGTCATGGCTATCTTTGTCCCCGGTCGATGGCTACGCGCTGCCGTGGCGCCAGTCCGTATCGCTGGACTCGCCCAAGGCGCGGCAAGTCTCCACCCGGACGACAACACCCCCTCTGTTGACCATTTCAACGTCGCTTGGTGATGGAAATGACGACGTGTCACTTGATTTGAACTCGACGCTCCTCCAAGACGTTGACGAGCTCCTGGAACTCACCCATCAACTTTGCCTGCACGACGACATCTCGACGCCTGCTTCAACCCCGACCACGTCCAGCCGCAGCAGCACCGGCACGGGTCTTGCTGGAGACTCTCGCCAGAGCGTTGTGTCCGCCGCGACATTCCAAGACGACGATAATTCAAACACGTCGATGCACTCGGCGCTCGAATCGATCAAGGCGGAGCGCCGAGCGCTCCAGCGGCAGCTGGACCACCTCCGCCGCCATCATCCGCACCACGTTGTCCCCCCATCCCCCACCGCGATCAACCCTTTAATTTAATCACTAACCACGCCCCCAGATTATTCTCTATCGAAAGACTTGAGTGTGCCGTCGATCGCTACATGCCCTCCATGGAACTGGTCACTGCATGCAAGGGATTCCATGATGCCGCTGCGATTCCGCCCCACGCATTCCTCAGCCACGAGCAACGTACGATTTCATGATGGATCACCCAGGACTAGCGGAGCTCGGAAGAGGCAGCCGATGCGCGTCTGGCAAGACAATGCGTGTCTTCACCGTGGGTCGTGATGCTTTGGACATGAGGACGGGCGGCCCTGCTTCCATCCGTCCCGCCGCGGTCATTCCCATGAGGCCAGGCGACGCCGCGTCGCCCCCTCCCTGGCTATCATGGCTTCCTTCGTCACCATGCAACACGTCGCGGGGTCTCCGCCGGTGATGGCGCTTGGTGCGGTCCACATGGTGATACAACGTCGAGATGCTGCGATGGGTCGATGCCGCAGTTGTTTTCCGTTTGTTGTCGGCACTCTAGATCGTGAAGCGTCGTTGTTCAAAAAGAGGAAGTGGCGCCAGGACATGGTCGTGTTGGTTGCGTACCCATTCTGGCAGTGTTTGAACAGCAATCGATCGGAGGTGCACCCCCGTCGGCGACTCAAAGACCGCGTTTGCCGCATTGCCAGGTCGCGTCGCGCGCTCGACAGAGTCCCCCCGTGTCGCAAGAGCTTTCAGAATCTCCAATTGATCTTGGCGCTGCTTTCCCGGCTGCAACGGCGGCAACTCGACGCCGTATGTACACGTCGAGGTCTTTTTGTCCGTGGCTGGAGAGACGAGCACTTGCTGGAGCGACGATGCGGTCGGGTCATGCAGCACCGGCCGTGTTTGCTACAAAAGTCGCCACATCCACCGTAAGAGCTGTCCCGACATTTCATTTTCGCCACTTCATGTGCATCGCATTCATGGCAAGATCGTGCAGCAGTCCACTGGCCTTTCGCGTGCCGAGCGCTCGAGAGTTTGGTTCTCTCAGCGACGCGACAGTTGGTCGTGAAAGCAAAAAAGTCCCCGGCACACACACGTGATACTCGAAGACGTACCACAATCGATGCTTGATACGCATGCAACTTGCCAAATAGCATTTGAAGCACCTTCTTCACTTCCGATGGCGCCAAGTCGTCGAGTCTGGCAGGAATGATATCGCCCGCCTGCCACACTTGGAGGGACGACAGCCCCTTTTCGTCGTGGCCACGGAGCGCCAACTGGTGCGTGATATCGTGGATGGCAACGCTGAGGAATCGCAGGGTGTCGTCTTGTTGAGCGAGCATGTCGTGTTTCTCGGTCCGTGCGTCGTCGAGTTGACTTCTGGCGTCGTTCAATTCGGCACACAACGTTCGCAGTTGGGCTTCGAGGGCGTTCGACTTGGTCTCGAGGAGTGCAATCATTTCCTCGTTCGCCTTGTTCACGTCTGCTTTGGATCGCTCTTCGCCTTGGGCAAGGGCGGCGTGCGTCCGCGCCGCCAACTGGTCGCTCTGCACTCGTTCGTTGAGCTTCTTGATGAGCTTTTGATAAAAATGCGTTCGCTTCGCCATCTCGACTTCGGTCTCTTTGTTGACCTATTATTCTCCAAAACGCATCATGGACCACGTCACTCGGAAAAATTCGAGCGACCAGGCATTACCTTGAGTTGGAGACGGAGGTGCACGACTTCGGTCTCGAGTGCTTTGTATTTCGCCAGCAATTTCTCCGTTTCTTTGCTCTGGTATTGCAACTCGGAAATCATTTGATCGTTTTCCATCATCGTGCGCTTGGTCGTGGTGTCGAGCTGGTCTTCCGTTCGCGCGAGTAAATTCTACACAACCAAACGTGAGGCTGCCGCAGCATGGGGTCCCGACGTTGGTGGATTCCGGCGTTGCTCAGCGACGTACTTGCTTGTTTTCCTTGATTTTCATCAACATGTCTTTCTTGATCCGCTCTTTTTCCTGTACATTTCGCCGCTCCATGTCCACGAGTTGCTACCACACGGCAAAATGCTCACACTGGTCGTTCGTGGTGTTGCAAAAGCACACGGACCTTTCGGTGGTTTTCCTTCTCGGCAACCAGCGTCGATTCCATCGCGGCGATCTTGTCTTCGAGGGCGATTTTACGCTCGCGAAACACTTCGAGCGCATGCAATGTATCTTCCGCGCCTTCCACGCGCTCCGTCAGCTCCCGCTTCTCCTTTGCAAACGCTTCTTCCGTCTCATGCTGCTTCAACCGGAACGCCACGTCCATGGCGTCTCGCTCTTGCTTGACCGTTTGAATGTCGCTCTCGAGCTGTGCGATCACTTCGTAGTTTGCATCCAACTTCTTGTGCAAGTAGTAGTAGATATCGGCCTAGGCATGACGCGGCGGCAACATGTCAATCGGACCGTGGTTGCACAGCAACACGTTACCTCGTCTTCGCGTTGTTGGACCAACTTTGCTTTTAACATGTCATTCTCGGCCTTGATGAGCGCATTCTCGCCTTCCCTACGTATACAAATGCGGTGGGATTCGAGTGCTCACCCATCTCGTACATGGTCTTCATGTGGTCGTTCATGAGGCTCAGCTCGAACGCCAGGACTGTGTCGATCTTCCCCAGGGCCTCCAGAGCGATCGTGCCAATGTCACGAATCTTCCGTGGGACAATCTCTTCGATGCTGACGCTGCTGGTCTGGACGGCGGGCGCCGCCGCCGTCGTCACCGACTTCGTCTCCATGATCGTTTCACGAGAGTCGTATTTTTAGGCTGATCCATCACTTGCTACATTGTAGATGGCATCAATAGATTCGCTCAATTGACATCAGATCTTCCGACTTATTTGTATTCCTGAAGGTCACGTCCTAGTGGTTGAGCTTGGGGCGGCGGTCGGCATGAATCCGGCATCGAACCCACGGACATTCCTTGCGTAACTCCACATGGATATCTCATCTGGCTGGGTGGAAGCTTATCCATTGCACACGTTAAAATGATGATATAGTCTCGTCCTACGCTTCTTGAAGAGAGTGCGATGGAAGCATCGGCGGGCCGCGCTCCTGTCCGACAATGTTGTGGACATCCGGATAATTGTTATGCATTTATCGGACACCGGGAAGTACGGATACATCATGCATTATCCGGAAAACGATTTCAGTGGAAAGTTGCACTGGAAGCTCGCCGCTGCCACCGCTCCCGCTGCCACCATGAGTTTGGGGCTACCGAACCACGGATGGAGTGCTGCGGGCATCGACGTGTATGAAAAGATCGAGTGCATTGGTGCTGGCACGTATGGCCAGGTATTCCTGGCGTCACATCGAGACACGGGGGAGAAGGTTGCACTAAAGAAGATTCGCAGCTTGAACGAAGTCCAAGGGCTGCCCGTGACAACGATCCGAGAGATCAAGGTGCTCAAAGCGATCAACCATCCCAACGTTGTAGGTCTGAGGGAAGTCATCGTGACCAACGAGCTTGAAACCGGCGACTTGGACGATGATCCGGACTCGGACATACCTGGGGAAAAGGCCGCCGTTGGACCAGTGCCAATGGACTTTTCCTGTGGATGCATCTACCTCGTCTTGGAATATGTCGAACACGATCTGACCGGTCTCCTTGATCGACAATATCCGTACGAACATGCGCCATGACACGTTGAGACTTCCGCTCTTATCAACGATCTGTGCATGTCGTAGGTTCACCGACGTCGAAATCAAGTCCATCATGAAGCAATTGATGGAAGTGATGAAGCACATGCATGCCGCGGACGTGATTCACCGGTAAGTAGCCCATCAAGCTGAACTATCCTTTCCAGACACACCGCGCAACTTTGCCACATTAGGGACATCAAGTGCTCCAACTTGCTCGTCACACCGGAGCACGTGCTCAAAGTTGCTGATTTCGGCCTGGCGCGATCCACTCTAGGCGACGTTCCATTCACCAACAAGGTATACCTTCAAGACGTGTCCCGGGGTGTGTCGGATTTTATATAATTTTTCGTTCATGTTTTTCCATGACGTTTGGTGGCAGCGACGGCATCCTGTTGGTGTGTTGATGCGAAGAGGATGGCTCTTTCAAGATACATCGCTGTGCTCTTGGTGTGTTTCACTCGTTGTCGTCACGTCTCGCTGTCCATGGCCGTAGGTCGTGACGCTGTGGTACCGAAGCCCCGAGCTGCTCTTGGGCGCCACATCGTACGACGCAATGATCGACATGTGGAGCATCGGGTGCGTTTTTGTTGAGTTGTACCTTGGCCGGCCGTTGTTTTCGGGCAAGAACGAGGTCGAGCAGATCAAGCGTATTTTTGACGTGTGCGGCACACCGACGGCCGCACAGTGGCCAGAACACGCCGCGCTGCCGTTCAGCTCCAAGTTCGTTCCGGAGAACGGTCCAGCGATTCCAAATCGCCTTGCCGACTTTCTCGTGCGTGAATTTGGAGCCCGCGTACCTCCGCGCGAGCTGCCGCCTGGAGCACTGGATCTCATGCTGTCGCTCCTGAAACTGAACCCGGCCAAGCGCTTGACCGCTGCCGAGGCGTTGCGGGCAAGGTACTTTCAGAGTGAACCATGTGCCCCCGACGACCCAGAAAGGTACATGGCAGCGACTCGCGAATGGCGATTTATCGGGAATGTGTCTAGCTTGCCGCCGATTCCCTGCGTGCCTTCCCACGAATTTCAAACGAAGAAAATTCGAAAAGAAAACAACGCCAAACTGCGAACGACGATGCCGTCGTCGGGTGGCGGCGGCGGCCGGTTCCCGAGTCCGTTTGCTGTCGAGTTGATGAAGCCGCCCAAACGGCCTAAGTTGTAGTGGAAGTCGTTCTGCATTTGTTGGAGGGTGAGGTACACGCGCTATGCCATGGAGATGGGCACGAGCACGTGCGCTGCCAACGACGCAAGGCGAGTGTAGGTGCAAGTCGGCGCCGCTCGCATGTACGCAACATGCACGTTTATCGTGAAAAACGTTAGTGGAATCGACTATGGTTCCGCGACGACGCCGTGGTGGCGTCACGAGGGTTCACGGCTGGCGGAGGCGCTTTTTGCAACTGACAATCGTGAGTGCAGGGTAGTGGTAGGTGCAAGACATGGTGTATACCTGCAAGAGCAACGAAGGGTTCTTGACTTTGACGAGGTTGTTCACTTCCTGCACCCATACTCACTTTAGGATGAAAACCAATCGTGACGTGAACGAACGTGCAGACGCGACTGAAGCGCCGTGACTCGGTTCTACACAGAATCGGTCGAGTCAACGTATAATTGGTGAAAGGGCTGCACCGGGTGCACACCCAAAAGACTGCGGTACCTTGACCGTGTTGTAGCGGTACGCAATGTGCTGGCGCACGATTTCTTCCGGCGACCGCGCAAAATCCACGGACAGGAGCTCGACAAACTTGTACTCCATGTTCTGTCCATGAAGACACCCAGTCGCTCGTGCCCTGGATGCGATGACCCCCACGTACCTGGATAAAGTCAAGGCGGGCGCGGCCATCCGCTTGCATGAGGTAGACCGCAATGTGGTTGTGGGGCTCTTTTATGCAGTTGTTGAGCATGCGAATGAGGACGTTCGCGTAATCGGAGAAGTCAACCATGAGCTTCTGTTGTTCCTGAACGAGATGGAACCCTTCGAGGTCGCACACGTGCGAATAGTAGAAGAAGAGATCGGTTTCGGTCGACAGCTCGATCTTGAGCGCCTTTAGGTCGTTCTCGTCACCCTGATGCGTTTTCATAAGTTTAAGACGACCGTATCAATGACTCAAGCGTCTCGACGTACAAGCAACAGAATCTTGACTTTAATCGCTTCCAATGTCCCAACTTGCTGCGGCGCGTTGTCCGAGTCCTTTTGCTTGTGTATAGGAAGGAGAACGTGTAGAAACACTGTACCTGGATGCGCAATTCAAAGGGAGTTTCGCGGTCGTACACCACGCGGTAGCCGCCAGCTACAACAGGAGATACAAGTGAGCATTGAGGAGGTGGGTCGTCCGACCTATGCTGGGGTCCACGTCATCCACCAACGACGACAGATCCGAGCTGGAGCTGCCATGGTGCAACGAGTCGAACGTGTTTGGCGCTGCATACTCAGTGCTACCGCCGCCTGCGGCATCAACAAACTTGAAGGCGCTTCGTGCCGCCATGTTTGAATTGTACAATTGCCAGCCTCTTCGGGCTTTCTGAAAGGTCACATATCTTATCATATTTAAGAGGGTCTCATCACGATGTTCATATTGAAATTGAAAATATTGTCATAATGAATACATGTTATTCTACAGTCTATAAGATAAAAGAGAATGACGAAACGCCCCGATTCCACAGCTTCTCGCACAGCAATCGACACCCGATCCAAGAGCACGGAGTTGCGCGGCGGTCAAGTAAGGTCGTTAAGTACGCGGCAACATCATATCGCCGATACTCTAGCGCACATTCCAGCGCCGCCGTGATGCATCCCTCGTCGCGATGCTCGCAGAGGAAGTGAACGACGTTCAGGTGACCTCGTGCAGCTGCTGTCATTAACGCCGCGTCCGTGCACCCTTCACGGCGATGTTCATGTAGAAAGCACACGATGTACAGATGTCCCGCAGACGCGGCCATGTCCATCGCATCTGTGGTCGCCATCGGTGGAAGCTTCTCGATACTCGTTGCAACAAGCGAGGTCGTTGCAGCGTGGATGATCTGGACGATTCCATAATGACCATGCCGCGCAGCCACATCCATAGCGCGGGGTGAAAGACACTGGGCAAGGCAGTTTGCGGTCAAGAATTCGGCAACCTCTTCGTGTCCATACTTCGCGGCAAAGTAAAGTGCATCGCTCGTACAACCTTCTGACCGTCGCGAGTGCAGGAATCGAAGGATGGCGAGGTGGCCACATCGAGCGGCCAAGTTCATTGCAAGCGTGGTGGCTCCCTGATCTCCAACTTGATGCAGAAAATGGACGCACCCAATCGATCCACTTCCGGCCGCCAGGTCGAGAGCGAGAGTCGAGCACGGGTCGCCTCTGCGGTGGAGCCAGTCAACCCAGTCGAGGCGACCAACAGCCGCGGCTACGTCCATCCAGTAAACTCGCCGCCCACGGCGCCACATCGAGTGCATCGGGTGAAAGAGATGTGCTGGCAGGACGCGTTTCAACGCGTGGAGGTGGGTTTTGGACAGTACGGCCGAGGTCGGGACAGCCGGTGGGGAGTCCGCGTCGATGGCGCCGACGGACGCATGGTGAATATACGAGAGAAGATCCTGGAGTTGGTGCACAGACGCAGCGGCAGTCGAGGTTGCGGCGGCCATGTTTGCTTGACTCGGGGGACTTTTCTTGTGGCAATTGCCCAACGCAGCCCACGAAGACCATCATTCCTTCTAACCGCCAAATTTGAAAATATGTCAAAATATCGATGAAGATGTCGTTGTTTGGTAAATTTGACATTGAAATATCTATCTCATTTTGCGTGTATATTCCGAAGTGTCATATATGTACGAGTTCATGTGCCATTGTAAGGACCCCTGCGAATTAAAGCGTAGTGCAAAACCAAGACCGTCGGTTTTGTAAGCGATCGATGTTCCTGCTTGACGTCGTCTCGCTGGGGCTTTGAAGCTGGTAAAATATTTTATGACGAGCGGGACGTGGTTTAATAGATTGGGTGTTCGTTCGTAAGTTTCTTGTAAGCGGCCCCAACACGATGTCTAGTCGTCACATAGACTTCGCTTTTAATAGTGTTGAACAAGTCGGCTTTCGAACAACTCACGTGAGCCTTATCCATGCCGCCTTCGCACGACCTTACAGTTAATCTCGGAAGACATGCACACAACTGAATGTGTCAAATAGTAATCCCAAATACACTAAGGTAATATTTGCATCAAGGACCAATACATCCAACAAGCCAATCACAGCGCAAACGATAATTTGCACTTAACAGTAAACTTGATTTTCATTTTTACCGACATATTGAACTTGCCGTATAGTTTACACTTGAGATTTGTATGCACTTGATTACACCTGTTCGTGCCTCCTCAGCTTCGCACCAAGGCCCAGGCCGAGCCCCGCCGAGTGCCCAGGAAACGCATCGCACGCTCAGGTGTATTAGTTGGCACGCTGTACTGGGCAAACAATCTGGTGAGATTTGTGTTTCCCTGTGTCGACATCGAGCTCAGCGTCGCCGTGACATCACAAGCTCCAAAAGCACAGGTCGGCCCCGTGAATAGAGAGTGAAGATGGATGCTTTAATAATGATAACAGGACGTAGCCGCGTGGGAGCGGTGTTCTAAGTGTGTTGGTGTGCAGGAGTCACGGGTTCAGCAAGAACGAAATGCTGAGTTCGATGGGCTTTGCAGACGTCGACTTGTTCAAGTGGTCGGATGTATCGGACGCCGTGGACGATGTGCTTCTGCTGCAGCAATCGCGTTCGTCGTCTGCCAGTTGCAATTCCTTGAGCTTCTTCAGACGCCGGCGCTCGCGTTGGTATGCATTTCGCTTCTCCCTTTGGTGCTCTTTGCGAGAGATCATGTGTGATTCGCGGGTGCGCTGAAAGAATGCTTGCTGCTCGGCCAACACCCGGAGGCGATTCTGTTCGTACTCGAGGAGGTAGTCCTTGGCGTACACGGCCTTCTTGCGTTTTACAGTGCCGTGGGAGAGCGTGGCGGCACAGGACGACGATGCAGACATGATGGGAGCTATTGAAAAGTGAATGAACCCCGTTGACTCACTCCGGTCGACCTGCCTAGCGCCAACCCCCAAACGTGGCAGCAACTTCCACGTACGTCCACGACCATGTGTTCAGGACACGACGAAACGCACCATGATGTCATGATTGATGTGTCCTCGAACACCTCCCACGTTCTCCTTGGGTTGCAGCGCACGAGCACGCGGTCACGCCGAACGGCGATACGGTGCATGATCGCGTACCAAGCCACATGTGCATGATGACCCGACGCAAAACAATTGTCTTCCGCGAAACCATTTGCACGCCCCTGTTTCGCATGGTTGTGTTACGTTTATGCGACGACGAGATCCACGTCCCCTGAGAATTCAATTCGAGTTGACTATGCAACCCAGACGACCACGGGCATGATATCATGTCGACCTCTACATCGCGACGAACCAACGTGCTGACACGTGCCAGCCGAACGCACAGGCGGCGAGCCAGTCGCGGCGGCTGGACTGAAATTCGACCGGCGAACACGTCGAGCGCCCCGCCAAAGTGGTCAGATCACTGTCGATACAATTCGCCATACACGCCACGGAAACGGCACGGGGGCAGAGTGAGATACCGCGAGTCGTTCTCGACTCGTGTGGACGGAAACCAGGGGGCTAGCCGTGGCAACTATGAGAAAAAGTCATCTCGGCATTTCAGTCGTCATTTCAGCACACCGATCCCACAACCTGGAGTGGCGTGGGGGTTACAAAGGGGGAGGGGGGGTGGGTCGCCCCTCGATGGCCTCTCTATACCGCCGCCGCGGGGCGGCTGCATAAGTCCGTGGCCCGACTTCGTGTTCCATCTGTGCCACACTTGATTTGTGTGCGCGCCTGACACGGTGAACCGACGCAATTCTCAGAATACCCTGCCTCCCACTTTCGGTTGCTGTCTTGGTGTGCTTTGATGTGGGAACGTGTTGGGTTTGCCGCGCCGTCGTCGTAGTCGGCGCGTGGTGGTGCCTCATAGCGTGTGCACGGAGGCGATGCAGCAGCTCGTGCACGACGAAATCACGTCCCACCTGTCGTCGAGCCCTTCGAGAATGAGGCAAGCGACGGCATCGTGTGTAACTTGGAGCGAGGCCGCGCCATCGTGGGCATTGAATGGACACTGTCGCGTTGGTGGATACCCCCCCCACTGTACCTCCAATCCCCCGATGCTAACCTAACATCCCCCCATCAAACACCAAAATGCGTCCAACGCATGCGCAATGTTGTGGGTGCTCTGAAGGCGATGGGCGATTTTGACACACGTTTCGCATCTGGGGGCCCACCTGACGCCGTTCGACGTAGTGGCTACTTGTCGAAGATCATGCGTCGCCAGTTCATATCGTCAGCCTGCCCACCCCGCCCGCGAGCACAACACACTTCAATTCGGCAAGATTCGAAGCGCAATGGAACTGTGTTGTGGTCGTGTCGATGCAGGGGCGAAAGTGAGATGAGCGAAGGATTTTGATGCGGCAGCCGCCACGGTGCGAACGGCGTCAGCAGTCGTTGGTCGCCCATATCAGCCGTCGTCCATCATTGTCGACTTGAAGTTCTGCGCATGTGATTTTGGGCAATATTCTGTCATGATTGGCAATATTTTGTGTGCATTTCGACAGAAGGTGGGCTCGTCGGCGCAATTCAAGAACATTCCACTTTTCGAGAAGGAAAGCCTCTGGTTTAATTCTTGTTGCTGTCGATTTTGCCACGAACGCCACAACCTTGAACATCGACTGCGTTAGATCTTCACGCCAAGATCAAGATAAAAAATTCCCTCCTTGAAAGACCTATATTTTGTGGAACTCTCACCGTGAGTTGCACCGCAAGTTAGGAAAGTTTGTGAGAAGTTGAGATTTTTTCCCCGTGATGTTCTGCTACGAAAAGGCTGTAGTGATTTTCGACAATGTCTTGGAATAATTGATATTTTCCCAGAAATCCTTTTTCGTTTGGATTTGCTCCAAATGCAATTACGTATTCATTTACAGAGACTTTTTCAATGGCCAATCAAACACGGTTAAATCACTCTGCGCAACACGGACCGATCGCATGGCCCCATCCACACCGGCCCAAGTGCCGAGGAAAGTCGAGTTCACGAAGGAGTCTCCGGCGTTGAAACTGGATGTGCTGCATACACACGACCGTGCACGTGCTTGTGACCTCCATCTTCCTCATGGAACTGTGCACACACCGATCTTTATGCCGGTAGGCACGCAAGGCACCATCAAAGGTACAATGCAATTGCCCGTCGGGTCAGCTCAAGCTTGGCACATGCAGGCATCACAGCCGAGCAGATGGCACTACCTCCAATTGACTGCAAGATTCTCCTTGCCAACACGTACCATCTTGCGTTGCGTCCCGGCACGGAACTCCTGAAAGGTGAGAACTCGCACATGGTTTAGCTATTGACGGCATGCGTAGATGTCGGCGGTTTGCATGACTTTATGGGGTGGCAGCGCAACATCCTGACTGACTCGGGCGGGTTTCAAATGGTGTCGCTCCTGGAACTGGCCCAAATCACCGAAGTCGGCGTCGAATTCCAGGTGCCGCCACTCGCCATGCACACTGTGCAGGTCGCATGACTGGTGCTCTAGTCCCCAGTCGATGGCACGACTATGCTGCTGACTCCAGAAATGAGCATTACCCACCAGGTGAACCAACGCTGCTGACGAAAAATTCTCCCTCGTTATGCGAACGCACGTCGTTGTAGAACAACATTGGCGCCGACATCATCATGGCACTGGACGATGTTGCTCCTTCAACCATTCAAGACGATGCTCGCTTCCTTGAGGCCACGGAGCGGTAAGCCGCTGCTTCCTCCGATCTCAATTCAGTCCTGTCGATGTTATTTACCCACCCCTTTGCCCCGTAGGACCCTGCGTTGGATCGACCGTTGTATTGCCGCACACAAGCGACCCGAGTCGCAAAACTTGTTTGGCATCGTTCAAGGTAGATCTGTCGACAAAGTTCCCATGCTAGATTAGCCTCACGTAGGCGGGCTCGACACCAAGCCCGGGGGCCTGCGCGAGCGCTGCATTCAAGGCTTGATCGACCGCAACCTGCCAGGGTACGTACTCACGCTCCTCCTTCGTCTGTTGCTGGCTCATGCGGAGGAACAAGGTATGCGATCGGGGGCTTGGCGGGCGGCGAGGACAAGACATCATTCTGGACTGTGGTCGCTCTGTGTGCCGAACGGTACTAAATGACGACGCACTCCCAACCATCAGCGCTCAAATCGTGTGGCGTTAGGTTACCAGCCAACAAACCTCGCTACTTGATGGGCGTGGGGTACCCTGTCGATCTCGTCGTGTGCTCTGCGCTCGGAGTCGACATGTTTGACTGCGTCTACCCCACTCGCACGGGTCGATTTGGCACGGCCATAACGCCAAAGGTATTTCGTCGATGGAATGGAACTGGATCGTCCATGCCCGCTGCCACGTTGTGCAGGGACTGCTGCGTTTGAAGTCGGCTGAATTTTCCATGGACACCAGTCGACTGGACGCCACCTGTGCGTGCTTTGTGTGCAACGAATACACGCGGTCGTATCTCCATCACGTGATGAAGAAGGACGGATCGATCGGCCCCCAACTCATCACGTACGTTCGGGAGGTCGACTCGACTGCTCAACATGGCGAATTAGGTACCACAACGTGGTGTACATGCTGCATTTGATGGGGCAAGTTCGCCAAGCGATTCTCGACGACTCCTTTCCGACCTTTGTGCGAACGTTCATGGCCGAGTGGCACCAGGATACCCCAGTGCCAACTTGGGTTCACGACGCACTGAACTACGTTGGCATTCCGCTTTAAATGGCAGTATTTCATGGATTCCACAGATCGCTGCATGGAATCCACTTTTGAGAATCGCAGGGGCCTATCACCACGACAGAGTGGAGAGACATAGGAGCTTTCTCGATTGGCATTATCATGGCTTACGATGGCGAACAACTGCAGACAGGATGGGGAACGAGGTCTCTCAGAAGTCGGCAAAACATACTTTTCAACATTGTGAGTCTGAATAGTAAGGATTGATTGAGTTCAGCATCATCAAGACGTTCGTTCCGTCGCTCCCATCGCGATCCACATGCAACGGTTCCCTCAGCACGGTGTTTGTCAACACATGGAGATTCAGGTCTCAAAGATTATTTGTGCCATCACAGAGAAAAAGGTTTCGGACGCAGTCCACGCATATGCATTCGAGTTCTTTCAGAAGTCGGCAAAACAGTGTTCTCAACAGATATTGAGTTCTGTATAGTAAGGATTTGTTTACTCTTCACCAAGAACGACGGTCGGGTCATAGTCCACACGCAAACATGCACACTCAAACAAATCATCGCTATAGGGGCTAACGAGCTTCCATCACGTGAAAAGTGTCCGCAAGAACTCCCCCATCGGATCGTTCGATATGGATCTCAAACTTTGTATCATGTGGAAGGATACCAACAAGCGTTCAAGCTGCACACAACGGCAGCAGCGGCGGCGGCGGCGACAATTCGGTCGATGTCAAGTTGCGGAATGGCTCGCTGTCCGCCGTGCAAAACCGTTGGTCTTGTGCGACCAGCCAATCCGGACAAATTATCCGGCCATTCCCTCCGGATAAAAGGACTCGATGTATGTATGGACAAGGTAGGTCATTTCAATGACGGGAGTTGGGAGTTTGTAGGAATAGAAGTATTGTTTTACATTACGCACCATCCCGCAGAGTTAATTTCATTACGTACTAATCTTTCGCCTTTTACTAAAGATTACCGTGGAATTGACTCGACTCGATGCGGCTTCACAAATTTCTGACCTCCCTTTGGGAGGACCTGCCTTCACTTCAACCGTTCTGCCATCACGTTTCACAACCATTGCCCTCATCCAGATTTACCTGTTGGATTCGCCCATCCCACTTGGCATGTGCCTTCCCATCACGCCACGAACGATGGCTGGTGGCCTCTCGATTCGATACCACATCATGGGGCGACTACAGTTCATCATGGATTTGTGTTTGACGTCCACAAGCGGTGTGGAGACACTGCCGCATTGTTTTGGAGCATACCCTGAACGAAAGGACGTCGTCAACAGTCAAACAGCGCGTCCACCGCCATGGCGATCTTGACGCTGCCATCGTTTAAAAAGGACACAAGTATCCGGATACCGGATGATGACCACTTCCTGTTCGGCCGTCAAGTGGCGTCGTCGACCCGCATGCTATCTGCCATCGCCCACCGCTCGTTCAGCTCTGTACGTGGATGTCGATTGCAGCCATCTTTACGTCGTTGCCATGTCACGTAGGCCACGCGACCGTTCCGCGTCCTGGGCATCCAGCAAGTCGCCGTGGGTGGGCTAAACAAAGACGCTCTCAAAGACCTGTGGGTGGACACGCTCGGTTTGACGTACAAGTCGTCGTTCCGCAGCGAACGTGAAAACGTCGACGAAGACATTTTGGAAGCAGGACGTGGCCCGTTTGCAGTCGAAGTTGACATCATGCAACCCATCGATGCCGACAAGGCACCCAAGGTGCACGTTCCTCAGCTCAACCACTTGGGTTTGTGGATTGACGACTTGCCCAAGTGCGTTGACTCGCTTACAAAGCAAGGCATGCGCTTTACCCCCGGCGGCATCCGCAAGGGAGCGGCCGGCTACGACGTCGTGTTCATCCATCCCAAAGGCAACGACGCGTTCCCTCTATCTGGCGAAGGTGTCCTGATCGAACTCGTCCAAGCCCCACCGCATGTCATCGCTGCCTTTGACGCCATCAAGGAGTAAATGACTGTAACAAACCAGTCGTGCAAGTATGCTCTATCGGTTTGCTTTCATTCAAGAAGCACTTCTGTACCGCTCGTTCCTCTCTCCACGTGCGAGACCACCATAGCTCTCCTTGCCCGCATGCAGTCGCCTTTACTCGTCGAACAAGGGAGTTGCCGTGTGTAAACATATTGCCTTACCACAACTAGTCGATCCAGGAATCGTGAATTGCAGCAGGCTCCTTCGTTGATTGCGCGCGATGGAAGAGCAGGTGGGCTGTGCATCCAAGCTCGCCACCGACGCAGCAGCCGATCTCAGCCACAGGTTTTACGTTGGCAGAGAGAGCGAGGTCAAGAAAGAGGCTTTGTCGTTGCCGTGGATCGACTCGTTTTCAACCTGACGTCAATGTGCCCATGTCATAACCCCAGGACTCGAACGATTCATTGGGTCACCGTGACGCCTTCGTCGTTTTAGACCTTTTCCTGCCACAAGTCGTCGGCAGCGACGTCGAGCACTCTACTCCATCCAACTTCGTTGGCACCCAAAGAAGTTCAAAGGTGTGGAAAGCAACGCAATAATGTGAGAATTCTCCATCGCTCTACACGAGCCGAACCTAGCCCAGCAAAGGAACGGTAGGACTGGCCATCGAAAGGCCTACTTCAATGGCAGACTCGTCCATGCATTCACCAAAGTCGACGAGTACGCTAGGGGGCCCGCCGTTTTCGACCGCCCCGCGTGCATCGTCCGGGACGGCGTCTGTGGCGTTGGTTTGGAAACAGGACCTTCTACGAGCTAGGCTTCGCAGTCAATGAGGCGTGCTGTCTTCCATGACAACATAGACATGCCTTGCAACAATGATTCCCTGCTCCAAACGCGTCGGCGCCGTTGGTAGCTCTGTCCTATATCCAAGATGAGCTCCACCAAGTGAACATGCTGGCTACACAGTGGAGGAATGACGGCAGTGGCAGCGGCGTTTCGGTCGGGTTTGCCTCCATTTCCACACTTCAGCGAAGGTCACAACTGCGTCACGCACACGACCGCCTTGCCCCGCCGCATACCGTTTCGCCTCAGGAACCTGCCAACACGAATATGGGAAACTGTGATCATGGACAAGAAGTGGCCACCGATTCTGTGCAAAGACCATCGTGCGTTGCAGATAGAGTCGGCCCTAGTCGGTGTACAGCGCTGGTTTGTCCGTGCCGAGCTTAGCCAACGTGCCCCACGTGCCGCTTCCTGGCATCGGGCTGACCAGTCGTGGGAATGAAAACAGAACCTTTCCCTTGCGGTTGCCGCGCGTCTTTCGAATGTCGTGCCCGTGCAGCACGGCTACACTGTTGCCGGTCCCAACCCAAGTGGAGACGCGTGTGCACGTACTTGGTGCGAGGTCGATGGCGTCCGACTCGTTGGACTTGAACCGCGCATCGAGCTTTTTACGGATCGACGCGCCTTTTCACGACTCGGTTCTGGCCGACGACATGGCCTCGTTCACCGGCGATTCTTCAAGAGTGCCACGTCCCAACATACCGCACCAACGGTCCCAACTGCGGAGCGACCGAGTCAGGAGCACCGACTTTGCTCCCACGTGGTGCTTCCACCTCCGAGGGAGGAGTACCAGCAGTTCGTGCAAGTTGCGTGCATCGATACCAAATGGACTTGCCACCAACAGTTTGGTGAAATGAACACACCGTGGCCACGAGGCAGAAGAGAACGAGTGAATGTGCTGGCATCGCGAAATCACGCCATCGACGACTTTGCGGCGACGGTCGATGCTGGCGGGCTCGTTGCGAAGGTTGGCCCCTGTTGAGCAATGAGAGGGAGCCATGTCCGACAATAGAGGACCTCGCCGTCGTGGAACGTGCGGCGATGCACACGCATCATGCCCCCTCGTATGTCGTGTGGTAGGAGCCATGCATTGGTTGCCATTCGTTGCAAATAGGCACCGCTCCTTCCGCACACACGGCGTCCAAGCAGGTTATTCGATGCTTACAACTTACTCGCCCCGTACACGGGGTACCGGATGTGCTGTGGGAGCGGGACCAGGGCGCCTGCTAGGTTCCACCCACCGTCCACGAGGGCATTCGTTCCGGTCGTGTAGGCGGCTGCGGGCGACAGGAGGAACACAACGGCAGCCGACACTTCTTCGACAGTACCCAGGCGACGGGCTGGTGTGTTCGCCGAGTACGATTCGCACACTTGTTGCGCGACGGGACCGTAGTTCTTGAGCCCCGAGCTTTCAATCGTGCCCTGCAGAACCATGACGTTGTCGGTTTGGCCAAGGGAGCGTCGTACCGGAGTCACCGCGTTGACGCGGATGCCGCGGCTCGCCCATTCGTACGCGAGGGACTTGGTCAAGTTTTCGACGGCTGCGCGAGAGGCGCCGCTGTGGCTGGCGTACGGAAATCCCTTGTCCATCGCGACCAGGACGTTGACGATCGCGCCTCCATGGTCTTTCAAATACGCTTCAAATGCGTACTTTGTCACGAGGAATGTGCCAGTGCTAGGGAGAGTTTGTTGCGGAGAAAGTTGCTCGAAACGGCAACAAACATGGCGCAGGAGGGAACGTACCTGTTTAGGCGATGCACCGCGTTCCATCCATTCAGGGACAAGTTTTCAAATGGAGACACAAATTGGCCACCGGCTACGAGGCACGTTGGAGGGCACCGAGACGAATGGATTTCATCCAACGTGTACACACCATTGTTCACGACGTAGTCGACTCGGTGGAAGACGCTCATGACTCGTTCGAAGAGCCGTTTGACTTGACCTTCGTCGCGGACGTCGCAAGCAATGGGCACGACAACGTTCGACCGTGACGAGTGTTTAGTCGGCAACTGCGCCTTGATCTCGTCCGCTGCCGCCACCAACATCTCCAGTGTTCTACATTCACATTGGACGTAAGCGGTCTTGTCGTAGGTGGTCGCGAGAGACGCTGGCCGGGAAGAATGCTCGTACCGTGACGCTAGCACCACGGAGCACCCAAGGAGGCACAGTTCATGCGCAATGGTTTTTCCAATGCCCGTACCGCCTCCTGTGACTACAGCCTGCACGACAGCGTTAGCCGTAGCGAGAACGAGCCTTCCCCATCTGCGCTCACCACTCTCCCGTCGAACACGCCATCGCGGAACACGGTCGTGGCGCCGCGGATCGTCATGATCAAATGGACTCACTGGCTGATATCTAGAAATTGTACATATTTTAGCCAATCACATACCAACAACGAGTTTGATCGAGTTGAGGGGGGATGGTTGTTGCCCGTGGCATGACAACCTTCCCCAAGGACCTGCTTCAGTCGCGCAAGGATGCTATGGCCCAAGATTTGACCCAGCAAACGTATTGTATACGTCGGCATGAGTTGCCTCCCTTGTTTGTAGCCACTGCTCCCGTGACGAGGGGGATGTGAGTTGGTGTTGTAGCTGGATTACACACGTGCTCCAAGCGGATCGAGCTTGGTCCCCCGGTGACAAACACCTTGTGCTTGATGCGACCGCCGCCGGCGGTACGCGGTAGCTACACGCCCGCTTCGCGCCCCCCTGGTGACGTTGGAAACGTCAACCGGAGGGGGAATATTTGACAGTGGACGACATCATCGAGGAACCAAATGGCCATAATTTAATCAAATCAACACAAAATCATCTCAAATTTCGTATGTGGA